TGTTGTTGTTATCAAATCATTTCCTACTCTTGTTGACTGTATATGCCATAGAACTGTGTCATAGAATTTTCAAGCCTGTGACTTTTCAGAAGCAGATCAGCAAGCCTGCCTTCCTCTGCGTGGACTCAACCTCCCAAATTTTGGCTAAGAGTCAAGTGCTTAGCTATTTACAGCAACACATAGACAATAAAAGAAACGAAACCATTGTTTATCAAGTCAATTCTGACTCATAACAATCACATATGTTGCAAAATAGGACTACTCTAAGAATTTCATGCCTTTAATCTTGATGGATTAAAAACTAGACCTTTCTTTACACAGTAGTAAAAGGCTAACCTTTCTATGAGTAGTCAGGCTAAAACTGCGTCACTCAAGAATCTGCATATTTCTGTGTGGTCAATATCTCGAAGAGGTTTACAGTAAAGGGATCACACATTTACCTAATTGTTGTTGTTAGGTGCAATCAAGTCAAGTACAACGCATAGCAACCCTATAAACAACATTATCTCTGACACACTTGAGCCCATTGCTACAATCACTGCATCAATCCATCTTATTGATCATCTTCCCTTCTTTCATTGGCCTTCCACCTTTCCAAACAATGTCCAAGCCTCTCCTAGAAACAGTCCCAAAGTATGAAAGACAAAACTTCACTATCCTTGCTCCATAGAACATTCTAGCAGCGTTTTTTCCAAGACATGTATGTCTTATTTGTTCTTTTGGAAGTCCGTGAAATATTCAGTATTCTTCTTCAGCGCTACAATTCAAAGGCATCAGTTCTTCTTCAGTCATCCGTGTTCATCCGTGTTCCCAGCTCACAGGTGCATAGCAGGTAACTGAAAAGGCCATGGCCTGAATCACCCACACCTTAGTCTTTAAACTGGCATCATTTCTCATGACATAATTTACCTACAATACCCCTTCTTTAGTTAATTTTCATGACTTTAAAGAATTTAAAATATACTATTTCTACATACAGAGACTCATAAGAAGTATAAATAAAACTTATATTTGAACAAACACTGAAATTTTAACAAAAATCTGTGAATTATATCAATGTCAGCATGTTTTCAATCTGATACCAATGGAGGAGACTTGGAAAATAGTACACGGAATTTCACTGTAGTATTTCTTAAAACTTCATCTGAATTTAGAGTTATCTCAACATTTACAGGTTGTTTGTTATAAAAATGCACACTTTCTTAATTGAGCACTGAATTTTACATTAAACGTTCTTTTTTTTTTTTCTTTTATTCAGGCGTGGAATTTCTTATCTCACTTGCCAGTGATAAATGTCAGCATGAGTATTAAAGGCTGGTGGAATGACTCAGTTGAAGGACAGAATGAACTGTCTATTCCAACTCTAGTTTCAGACAAACGAGATGACAACAAATGGATCAAATTGCATGCTGACCAAGAGTATGTGCTTCAAGTCAGCTTGCAGAAAGTCCACATTGGATTCCACAAGGTATAGTATTTGGTTTCTATTCTCACATACTTCACACTAGACACCAGCATGCACCACCACACATATCTTTTCTATGACTCTCATGTGTCCGTGTCATTCATGAATCCTGCTTTCTCAACCGGCTTTAGGCAACAGCAGTTAGTCTTTAGACATTAGTTCTTTGCCTGTGCCGTTTTTTTCTATTCCAGATTATTCAACTCATGTAATAAACTGTTGACCCAAACTGTGTTCCCAATGACACCTACAAACCCAGTGCAGCAGACTTTCCAAGAGGGCCTTTTAAGGTATAGATCTACCCAGGTGGCCTAGATCCAAAAGTCAGTGCGAGCTCACAAAAGCTTTACTTTTATCAGGCACACAGAATTATTTTTTTAAGGCATTTAAGTTTGAGGAAAAACATTTATGCTTGGAGTCCACACTGGGCTAGAGTCAAATGACATTGAAGCTTAACCACTTAGTCAGTTTTATGAATTTGAGTAAGTCAGTAAGTTTTTCAAAGCCTCGATTGTCTGAGCAAATGAGCCACCTGCTTGCTTCTGCTATTGTAATGCATCTGAAAAAGCTTTGTCAATGTTCATGCAAGCAAAAATGTATAATACTTGTGTTTTAAATTGCTATAGTCTTTTGCCTCTAACACTAAAATTAATTATTTGATTCTCTAAGAATCTGAGTACAAAGCACTTAGGTAGATTCATGTTTTGGTATCATGACAACTGAAATTTTTAAAAAGTCTTTTTTTGCCCAGTAGATTGAGGAACTTTTTCCTATCTAGGATAAGCCCTTGTTGGTGAGATCTGAGTGGCCTTGGTAGTTCTCTGTTTAAAGCACTACTGCTAATAACCAAAACGTCTACCATCTGTTCTGTGGAAGAAAGATGGGGCAGTCTAACTGTGTAAGATTTACAGCCTTGGAAAACCTAGAATCAGTTCTGCTCTGGCATATAGGGTCATTATAAGTTTGAATTGATTTGACAGCAGTGGATGTGAGGTGGTTTTTTTTTTATTAGTATGCTTGTGTTTCATTTGTATCATTTCCTCTATTTCCACACACAAAATGATTAGCAACTTTATGTTACCATGATACTGTTGCTCTGAGTCCCAGTCATCTGTTTTTTATCTCTTAAAAATCAGTAATTAAAAATAAATCAATAATTCAAAACAGCTGTGAGATACCATCTCACCCCAGCAACAATAGCAAAGTTTAGCAGGGCAGCAAACA